AAGGTGCCGTCGCCATCCAAAACAAGCAGCTGCGCCAGGTAGTCCCGAGCATTCGCGTTAGCTCCCTTCTCCAGGAGGACCTGCAACACTAAAGGAAACCGAGCAGAGTGACCGAGGTCTGCAACGTACCTGGTATGTGCATATATTCATACAGTGTGTTTATACACATACAGCTCGGGAAAGAGCCTGCGCCAATTTACAACGGTATATAGTACATAGTATAGCACTCCACCTCTCGAACCCAGACTCCAAGATAGTGGACAAGATACCATGGGCTCCGATTCGAGCGCGTCCCCCAACTGAAGAGAGTGAGGAGACAACATCTCCAGACTCTGCCCTTACCATGCTGGGGTTCCTGTTAAGGAATGCAAGTTCAGTTTCCCAAAATAATGCATAGTAAAGAAATGTGACTAAGAGATGGTATCCTTATTATGGTAATTAAAAGCAGACCCCATTCAGAAGAGCCCAGGATGCTGCTACAAAGGCGAGAGCAGCCCTGACTGTCCTGCCTGGACACCGTCCACATCGCCGGTTCCGGCAGCAAGCATCAGCGCCTTGGCATGCAAGATGTGGGGACGCTGGGGTAGCCGCGTGCCTCCTTTTTTCAGTAGTCATCTTTTCGGGCTCTGCGATTGGGCAACCAGGCCGTGCATCCGTTGTGGTCGCGTGCATCGATCATGGCGCCGGCACGCAGGAGCAGGCGCGAGATCTCGGCCTGTGTCACTGCGATGCCCAGCCCTCTCGTCACGGCAGGCAGAGCTGTCTCCGTGCGCTGTGCACGGCTCCTTGGAGCTCTTCACGGCGTGGTGGAGGGCCGTCTTCTGCGTATCGTCCACAGCGTTCACGTAGACCTCACCGGCAAAAGCGGGGCAGTTCTCTGCACTCTGGCTAGCATGCTGGCGTGAGGCCTCGCCTCCCCCTTGCTTAAGAGATAGTCGACCTTGCGGGGGGCTTCGCTTGTAAGGGCGTTACCTTTGCATGGGGGTTCGTTTCGCTGGAGCTGACTTCTCTAGCTTTGCCGGGTGCCCCAGCAATGTCTCGACTGCCGATGGCTGAGGCGTACATCAAGGCCGTGCGGCCCCGGATGTCGCTTCGGTTGATGAGCGTCTTCGTGTGCCTTTGGCACATGAAGCGAGTTCTCCGCTCCGGCACTCTCTTTGTTCTCTCTCAATGAGGAAAACGACAAGACTTTAAACGCTCACTCCTGGCACATCGTGTCTTTTGAATCCTCTCCCCTGCTTTCTCGAGTCTGGAGTCTCTGTGCCTGGTCGGGGACACCGGAGAAAGGCCCGAGCGATCGGTGCCTGGCAACCAGAGAGCCGGGAGAGCGAGCTCTCTGATGCGCGGGCTTCTGCCCCGCCTGGCTCGAGGACCCCAGCCTCAGAAAGGCTCGCTTGCGGCCCCTCCTTTTCAACTCGAACTTTCACGCTCTGCCTGCCTCGGCGATGGCCTTGAAGGCCTCCAGATCGCCGGACCTCTCCGAAAGGTGATTTTTACAAATGCTCGGAATCCAGCTCTGTGTCCTCGCCAACTCGAGCAGCTTCGTGACCTGGCGCGCGACGGGGAGTCACGACCATATGCAGGCGGGGGCAGGGAACAGCGCCGGCCGGGCCATCTGCACGCGCGTGTTCGCATCCGCGCTCTCCTCCTTACCCTGGCCATGGGCAGAGAGGCAAAGACAGAGAGCCCTTGCCTTAGCCGTTTCGAAGGCCGAGAGCCTCCTGGGCGGAAGCCTTCATCGCCTTGGGGAGCTTGGTGGCGCCGGCAGCGAGCCTGCACGACAAAAAGGAAACCCGTGTGGATCCTCCTTTCCTTGACTCCGAGGCCGAGCCTGACTAGAAGGGCCCCGGTGGAGCTGCAGAGGCTGACCTGAGAATACTGAGAAGGAGGACAACACTGATTCTGATGCTTTTTTACAGCTCCATAAAGGCCCAAGTCCAAGGTTGCGGCCCAGCCCTGGATGTGCTCCTCCTTGGGCCTCGACGCGCTCTCCGCTCTGTTCTGCTGGCTCGTGTCTCCCACGTCTCGGGGTGCCGGCTCCACCGAGACGGTCGACACGAGGGCCCTCCTGGGAGACAAAGGACCAGGAGTTGGCACAGCGTGCGTTCGCAGGAGCTCTCGGCAACTCTGGCAGCTGTGCCTCTGCTGTGAGGCGGACCTCGGCCGCATCGAACCGAGCAAGGGCGACGTATTTGGACTGAGAAACGCAGCAAACATCTTCCGGAATCGGTACTTGCTAAGCACCACTGAGAAAACGGCTCCGGTGCCAATTCCAACACTTTAATCCTGCAGGGAGGCAATCTGAAGATAGCTGGAGGCTCTGTGCTTAGTCCCGCTGTGGGATGCCTCGAAATACTTGAAACTATACTTACGTCCTCCGAGCCCCGCACGACCCGGCCAAAAATCGATCTTATGCAAAGTCGTGTTCCTAACTCTTCCAAGCTGTTCACATCCCAAATCTCCATGGCGCCTTAACTTTTCGCTTGTCCCTTATATTTATTTCTCGCAGCCGGCCTGCTGTGTGGCAGGAGCGTGTCCAGGAAGGGACCTCGGATGCAGGAGGCACCGCGAACCTTCTGCTGAACGCCTCAACCCTAACAACGGCAGACGGCAGCTGCCCCGCACCAGCACACAAGCTCTCAACCCCCCCCCCCCCTTGAATCCTTGAAGTGAGGCCGACGTGAGGCCTTTGCTGCTCAGAGCCTCCCCGGCACGCACGAGGAGCATGCATAGCCTGAGCTTTTCCGACTCCATGTCACCCCCTCCACCCCCCTCCCTCCGCAAGAGGCTCTCTTTGAACAGCCGACAGCGGCAGCCGACAGCGTAGCGCAACTTTGAGGCTTGGGCACTTCGAGCTGCGAGCCCACGGCAACCTTAGGAGCAAAGCCAGGCAGAGCCAGGGCCAAAGCTCGGGTGTGACAGGTTTCGGGGTTTTGTGGGGTTTGGACTTCAGGTCGGATGGTAACGGTGATGATGCTGGCAGTGATGATGCCACCGCTCCGCATTAGAGCACCAACCAAGTCTAAGGTGATCCGTGTCGACAAGACGGAACAGATCTAGCCGCTGGTTTCGAGCAAGAGCGAGCTGCCTGCGATAGCGAAGAGGGCTTCTGCACCTGCAGGCTGCAGTTGCACGGAACGCTTGGAACAGCTGACGGTGCACCAGTGGTCCCGAGGTGTACACAATTAAAAGGACCTTGCATGGCGTTCTCATGACACTGAGGTGCTTGCTGCACTGGCCGGGGCAACGCAGGGCTCGCCNNGATGGTAATCCAGCCTTCAACGATTGAGACCAGCCGCACAGCGAAAGCTCGTAGAAGACTTGCCTTGGCGACCGGACTCCTCAGTGACCAGGGCACGCCGCCGTTCGCCCGTCTTTGGAGCGGATGTCCGGAGAACCTGGCGGAGATGTGCATCGGCTCCAAAAAAGCTCGTCGTCGTGAACTGCGAACTGGGCCTTGCAGCGACGTCCCACGTCCAAATGACCCAGGAACTTGCTGGAGATGCTCTCATCCTGGCGCAGTGCCACCTGCTTGCGCCGTTCAAGCTCATTTTGTGCTTGCACTACTCCCCAAGCGAAGGCTGAGTTCATTCACATTGGGCTCACAGCCCAAGTCTGAGAGCCGTGCTGGCTTCATGGCGATGCAACTCGCATCCTGCATGGGCAAACTTCAACGCTGCGCGTGGGCTGGGCTCACGCGAAAAACCTGGATCCTGATAGGGGTTTGCAGCTTCCACAGATTTCAAAAGCAGCGACCCCAGACCGGTTGGAGAGGAGAGAAGCTCTGTGCAGTGTGTATCTTGGAAAGGCAAAATCGCAGCGGACCTGATCAACAAGCTTCTCAAGCTCACCTGACCGCGACAAGCAAATCAAGGGCGTAGGCTAGGTGGTGCTTGCAAAGATGCTTCAATACACGAGACTGCTGGTGTGACAAAGACTCTTAAGATGAGTAGGACTGCCACCAGCAACGACCAGGCTACGTTGCAATCATGGCACTTTGTCCTATTTGACCGTGCAGAACAGGAATCTTCGACTATGCCAATGCTCAACAGCTCCCCCACCAAATCCGTACCATGTTGCATGTCATTGAAAGCGCGCCTTCCACAGCTGCTTCGATGGGAGCCATGGCGCCACGAAACCTTGCTCAGCTGTAAGAAATCTGTGGGTCATCAATAGAACTGCCAACATTCCTGCGAATCCTCTTGTCCTCCCATGTGCCCGTGTATCTATGTTTTGGGCCGAAATTCTGTCGTCAAGCTGTGGGCTCGCATGCCATTATGTTTCGGCAGTTCAGAAAGGCCTTCCCCGTTTGGCTTTCTTGGTATCCGCGTTGTTCAGACGGTAAAACACGCGAACTCAGGTTGAAACGGGGATGCGGTGCCAAAGTCATCATCACTAAAATCGCGCACCACCATCATCATCATCACCCGGCGTAAGTTCTGGCCTGGTGGATTTTCGCGAAATCCAGTCAGCTATTCAAGTAGGGGTGAACGTGAAGATGGTACGGTGAAAACCTATTCACCTGTTGGGCTCTCAAAGAGCGAAGTTCGAGCACCACTTCACTACAAGTGGCCCAGTTCGAGCCAATGCTGGCCGGAAACAAGCAGATCACTTCAAAGCAACAGCACCTGATGATGGTGCCTGCGCTTGTTTTCGTCGCACCAGAGCGCAGCCAGTGCTGGTGCAGGCTTAAAATGCGGACCACAGGCCACAGTGCAGCCTGCAAGGTGATACCACCTACACGGAAACGCCCATTTTGACGATTTCGCACAGAAGGAAGGATTCGCATGCTGCCCGGAAAGGAAGTGAGGTGATTGACAGATTCCAGATCTGGGTTCCAACAGGGGGCAGCTCGAGAATCCCAGAATTTCCAAGGCGTATACAAGGCATTGAAGTCGGGCAGCGGTACTGTAGCGACGCGAATCGATCTGTGGAGCTGGTGCCACAGGGATATCGACTCACACATCTCATCCCCATCTGCCAAGCCAAGGCTCAGAAGCTCAGACGTTCTGAGCCGCGCTTTGCTGCCTCCTCTTCTTGCCAACGATCCGGAGCAGGCGAATCATACTCCTCAGTACCAAGCCTTTGCCAGGACATTCACGATCGCCCACGCCGTTCACGGAGTTGAAGCTCACCTGCTTCTCTTTGAGGCCGGGCCGGTTGTGGTTGAACTCCCAGACATCGGGGCCCCAAGCTGCCTCGTCAATGTTGGCATAGACAATCGGGATGGCCACGTTGGTTCCCTTGGGGAAGGTGTAGCTTTTGCCCTTGATCTCGCAGGAGAAATCCTCTTGGGCAATTCGGTGGGAGATGGTCACGGGAGGGGAGAGTCTGGAGACCTCGAGGACGAACCTCTCGAGTTCATCATCATCGTCCAAGTTCAGCGAGTCCCATATCGGGCGGATGTCGGTCTGGAGGTTGCCATGCTTATCTCCGGACGTGCAGAGCCACATCAACATGCGGGAGCCCTGGATGCCCGCGATGCGCATGATTGCGGTCATGAGAACAGCAAGCTCTCTGGCAGTCATGTTGTTGTACTCTGGCTTGACCTTACTTCTTGCAAGGACAATAGTAGTGGCTGCATCGCTGGTGGACCAGAGGGGCTGATACGATTTGGATCGAGAACCAAGCTCGGCCCGACAGGAAAGCACTATGAACAACCTGTACTCAAACCCTACAGAATCCTACCCTAGGAGTACTATGAAGAGCCTTTCGAATGGTACGCGCTATCGGCTATCCGGGAGGCATTGCACGGTACGGTAGACTCAGCAACAAGTGGGCACCTGGCCGAATAGAGATGTTTGAAGCAGGAGAAAGAACAAGTTAATGTATCACAAGACAACGCTGTCTGTCACTGACCAATACGACGCGGCTATGTACCAGCTCGACCGGCCGTCGGCCCCTCTGATTGAACCACGACTCAGACTCTATGCTTCACAGCACTGCGGTTTCTGTTTGAGCCCACCTTGAAGTTGGCAAACGCCGGGGACTTCTCGTAGAGGTCTGCCACCTCGTCGATGGTTTTATGCTGTGAGATGCAAGGTAGGCGACCGAAGGGTTCGAGGTAGTGCGTCAGGGCCATGCTGCCAAAGAGGAAGGAGTAGAGTGCCGTCACCTCCTGAGGATTTCGGACGTCCATGCCAAAGATCACGTGGTGCAAGTACTTGATCCAAAAGCTTGTGTTGCCACCATCGGATGCATGATAGAAGTTGTAGGAAGTCATCTTCACGAAATCCTCCGCAGCCTGCTCCATGTAGGACTGTGAAAGATCATCCGTCTCCCTTCTCATGGCGGCGTCGTTGAACAAGGTGTCGATCATGCACTTGCGGAAGGCCTCGTGGTCGCCCGTGCCCCCGGCAGCCTTGCCGGAGAGGCTCAAGAGGAAAACACAGCGGCCGGTGTCACCTTCCGGCAGGGCACTGCGAAGAAGCGGGTGTTCGCCCAGCCAATGGTTGCGGGCCTGGGGGCTTGTCAAGGCTTTGGAAACCACGGCATGACTCCCCAGCCAGACTTGTCCACTGGCACAGAGATTCTCCCCCCACTGGCGATAGGTGAACATCGAGAGGTCGGTGCCGCCCGCCCCGATGCTGTCCAAGATCTCAATGGGCGGCAACAAGAGGCGAACGAGGAAGTTCCAGGGCCTTTGGAGCGCCCAGAGTTGGAAGGCTCGGGGGAAGCACACCAAAATCATGCCCTCGATCATCAAGTAGAGGACAATGAGGCCGACGACGACTTCCGAAATGATCCGATGATCAAGAAGCCACGGCACGACCACGGCGGCGATGAGCAAGGGGAACACGACCACCCAGAATGTGTTCCAGGAAACCAAAGCACCTTGCAGGACGCTTTCAACCAAGACTCATGATATCGCATCGAGGGCCTTCTAAGGACCTAATGCCCAAGACAAAGCCTGAAACCCAGAACCCGCAAGAGGGGCCTCCCAACACAGGCTCGCTTTGCCGGGGCTCCGATGCCAGCAACCCATGACGTTCCTGTGGCTCTTGCTCTGTCATACCTGACAACTGCGATGGCAAGCACAGTCATGGCGCACAGCAGGCAGAGCTCATAAGCGGACAAAACAAGGTTTGTGGGAACAGACAACTTTTCTTCATTTCAATTAGTGTTTTCGAAGAAAACAAAGACACCCGTTTTGAGCAGGGCCTCGGATGGGGTACCATGATGGGGTACCATGTGGGGCTCGTTTTGGGATTTGGTTGTGGGGATCTGCAAGAGTCGAGTGCGAGCATGCAAACTTGCCCACTACTGTGCTGCGTACAATCCCCATCAATACTCATGGCTTGCCGATAATCTGCATAGCATAATCAAGCAAGCTTCAACTACTGCAGATCTAGGTGGGTTGAAGCGAAAGACTGTTCAACTTTCCATGGAGCAAAGGAATACCAACTGCAACAACACTATGTAGACTCCTGATTGATACACCTTTCTGTCTTTCAGGACCATAACAAATGTCCGGATTCCCATCTACATCACCGTTGAAATTTGGGGGTTGGGCCCGCAGCTCGCCATGGAGTCACCTCGGGGGCTCCCCAACCTGAGGGGCTTAGGGCCCGAGAAACCCCAGAAGTTCCCGGTTCCCACATGGCTGCCCCTAAGGAAGACTCTTAAACTAAGTAGGTTTATTGAAGGTTTGGCGCTTGAGGTTTGGTAGCTCTGATCCCTCCCAGGCCTCCGAGCTCTCGAGCCAGCGGGCTTCTTCACACCCGGGAGCAGCAGCAAGAAGCTGTTTCCTATGTATGCTTCGGGCTAGAAGTATGTGAAGACTGCGGCGAGAGTGGTCGATGGCATGAACGGCACACTTTCGGCTTCAGCACTTCAAGCGGCTTCTTCTTACTTGCAGTATCACAACAAGCCTCAACTTGAGCCACGCATATCACTATGCGAGAAAGCTTTCTTGTGCACAGGGCCCCAGAGAGCTAAATCGGAGCTTGGCGCCTCCGAGGCTTTTTGACCGCGAACGCCCTCCCGGGTCTCACTTCAGCTGTGGTCTCAGGCAACTTGCTGGCCTCCTTGACAAGCTCATGGAACCTCGCCAGAACTCATGGGCTACAAACAGCAGTCTGCAATTTCTGTGCTCGCTCCTTTTTTGACCCTGTGCGTGCCGGGACAGATGGACACCGAGCTGCGCATAGCTTGCAAAAATACCAAATCAGTCATGCATAAAAGAACTCGAAACATGCCAGGTCGTATATGTGTATGTTACAAATGGGAGGAGAACTAAACAAAAAGGTCAAACACAAATAACAAACGGGCCAAACATGAACACCGAATAAACAGAAGAAAACCGAAGTGAATACAGAATAAAATGGCCAATGCATGCAAACAGAGCATACAGATAGCTAAGGAAGCACCATGGTATAAATTTACGGATTTGAGCACATACAAATACACACATGTAGACAGATGTGTTTTTCATTGACTTTATCCGCTCTTGTCCGTTGTTTTCGGTCGTGTGGTTTGACCTCATTTCGCTCTCTTACAGTCCATTCATCCACTGACTCAGTGGCTCACTCACTCACCCTCCCGCCTCACTTCCGCCCAACTCACTCATTCGCTGTCTGGCTCGCTCACCTCGTTCACTCACTCACCAGGCCACATATGCAAATTCATAAGTTTCATTGTATTTCTTCTCATTCAGCTGGATTCGCTTCACTCCAATTTCATCCCATGCCACTTCATTCATGCATTCCTTTCTTCATTGCTGCCTTCCTACCTCACTCCCTTCCGTCTGTCCATCGTTCATGGCATGGTTAACTCCGTCCATCCATCCACCCATGCGTCCATCCTGTAGTTCAGGTCATGGCTTTTGTGTCAGTATATTTCACTGCGCTTCATTTAGTTCCCTTCCTTCTTTCCTTCCTTCCTTCATCCAGTCATCTTTCAGTCTGTAAAGATACAGGTGTGGACGAAGCTCTCAGACACAGATGCAGGCTTGTTTCGAAACGGCTTACGCGCGTGCGGGGACTACGAGAGAGAGAGAGAGAGAGAGAGGACATTGAAACAGTAAAACCTAGGCTCCTAGACATCCGGTATCCGATCCCAGCGTTCAAGGATCGAAGCGCTCGCCGGCCGCCTCCTCACTTGCTCTCCAAACCAGCTCGCGCATCTCCGGCGTGATGAGGTCATCTTCACGATCCAGAAGAACTGCTGGGCCGGTCCTGGGCAAAGGAGAAGCAGCAACTCTGTGAGTTTGTCTATTATGTTATATTGTTGTTTTGTTTAATCAGTTTAATCTTGCTTTAATCTTGTATCCTTTTTAGTTATGACAGGCACCTGACCTGTCGGTTTCTTTGCAGGGGTTCGAGGGCCGAGCGTCGCCATAGGACCGCCCGGGGGGCTGAAGAAGTCACCGGACTGGGCTAAAGGATCGCAGGCGCAGCGCAGGATGCCCAACGTGCCGTCCTCCTCGGACTGTGCGAGCCGGGCCATGAAATCCGACCAGGACCTCAAACGTTCGGAATTCGCGACCAGGCGAGTGGCGGTGAAGCCTGGATTGGCACAAAGGGCCTTCACCTTAAGACCCTTCTGGCGAATCCGGTCATCCAGTGCGTAGGTGAAGATGAGGTTGGCAAGCTTTGAATGGCTGTAGCGTTCAAGTCCGGGCGGGTGAAAGGTGATGGTCTCCATGAAGCTTTCGTCGTCTCCTCCGAGCTGACCGCCGTTCTTTCCATAGTACTTTACATCGAAGGGCTGCTTATGCGCGTGGCGGATGCCACTGCTGTGGTTCACCACTCGGGATTCCCCTCGAAGATCAGCCGCTTTCAAAAGTAGAGGCCAGACTTGCTGCGTCAAGAGGAAGTGTGACAGATGGTTAGTTTGCATTTGGGGATCATAGCCATCTACTGTGGCTTGATCCGGTTGGGTTGAAACTCCTGCGTTGTTGCAAAGAACATCGAGGCCTTTGGATGCGAACCTCTGGTTCAGCTCAATTGCTGCCTTCCTTACGCTGGCAAAACTCATGAGGTCACACTCAATGAAAGTCACCTGCGACGTCAAAGCTTGCACGTCCTTCAAGGCATCATCAGCTCTTTTGGAAGACCTGTTAAGCATGATGACTTCAGCTCCTGCTTGTGCAAGGGTCCGTGCAAAAACGAGGCCAGTGCCTGATGTACAACCTGTGATAGCAACCACCTTGCCCTGCATGGGCGGAAGACATGCCTTGTATTCTTGGTACAGTGGCCCCTCCTTCCGGGACAAGCAAAGTCCCATAGCGCTGGGCTGTGATCTCCCGCTAATTCGCCCTCAAAGCTGGAGCCGCAATGGCCACCTGACGCATCTTCCTGGACTCCCGCTCTCGGCTGACCAGCCCACGAAAGTACCTTCAAACCCCTGAAACCTCAATGCTAACTTGCCCTGCTTCTAGTTAAATCAGTGAGCCCCTACTGAAAGAAGCCAATGTAACACCCTCTGCCCTATGCAACCCTCTTCGGCATTTAGTGATAGCTCACTGAGTGCAGCCATTCACTTAGTATCCGGCCCCATGTCACATCGCCCGGAGACGGAAGATCAGACTTCGACCTGCAGGAAGCCCGGAAAAAACAGGCCGATGGCTCAAAGCTGCACCAAGGGCCCACATGTTATAAATGTGACACCGTGTCCATACGAAAACGAAACTTGAAACTTGGAACCATTACGTGCAGCTTCATCCATGTAAACAATCCTTGTTCTTTTCAATCTTTCGTCCTGTTTGGGCCGTGACAAAGCATGCCGAACGTGCAAGGCCAACAAATGTTGAAAGGATCGGGAACTCGGGAACCGTAGAGCATAAGACTTTCGAAGCTCGACGACGGCACAGTTGCCGCAGAGATCGGCGTCTTGGAGATCCGTGACGGAACTCACGAAACCTGCTTGCGCCGACTTCGCCGACTGCCACTCCAAGGCCTCCGCATGCGCGGACGCTGCGACCCGACCTCTGTGCTCTCACGCTGTGCGACGGTCCTTCGAGTCCGAGTGAGGCAACAAACTCGGAGATGGGGGCCATTGGCCCATCGGCTGTTCAGCCCACGCCCACGAGATTTACAGTATACAGTCCATACTAGACTTCTCCAAGACCAGATCTTCGTTGAGTTCCGGACCAGGAGCCAAAGCAAGCCTTGCCATGCGGCAATGCACATTTCCACAGCCTCCACCTCGCTTGGGTCAAGCTCAGCCGCGACCCACCCAAAAACCCAGCTTCGAAGCACTCTTGCGCGCAAGGCCTTTTTTTCGAATTGGCCTGCGTGCACATCTTTCCAAGATGCGGCTGTGCTTCACGGCTCGGCATCAAGAGAGCCGACTGACCATGAATGCGCTTGAGGCTCTCTCACACACCTCTCACGTCATTCAAACCCTAACTTGCTCGCGGCACTTGTCGCCAACTGCGTTGCAGAAACAAGCGGTCCGCGATGCTACAGTAAAAGGCAAGCAAGACCAGCGCCTTGCATGCCAAGATCTCGAGGAGTCAGGCCCCGTGCACGGGCCATCGTCCAAAATGACTCTTGCAATGCCAAAATCACGAGCTGTCCCCCTGCCCATGGCGTTTGCAGTGGGAGGGCTGCTGTGGACAGATCTGGTCTGGAAAATGTTGCCACCTGCGTGCACCCCATGTCACTGACTCACCGAGCATCGATGAAAAGCATCGGGAGTCTGCGAAAACGCCGGTCTTCCACGTGGGCTGGAGGCACTCACTCTGAACCCTCTGAACCCGAAGCCTCGCTTGATGATTCTTTGACATAGCCGCCGTAGGCATTGAAGGCGTAGGCCTTGGAAGGGGAGTGCTTGTGCATGTCGTAGCCGACCTTCTCAATATGCTCGTCAATGCGAAGAAGCCCCGAATACTTCAGGGCCAGGAAGGAAAGCGTGGACAGCGTCCCAGCCCACGCGATGATGGCCAGAATCATCACAATCTGCGCTCCAACAGCGGTGCCGCCAACATTCTTGAGGCACTCACCATCGTCACCGGTCATGCAGCCGAAACCGCTCCAGCCGTGGTAGTGGTCGAAGCCCTTCCCCCAATCGAAGAGACCAGCCGCGAGAAGCCCCCAAATGCCGCAGGCTCCGTGCACCGGGCTGGCATCCACGGGGTCGTCGATCTTCAGTCTCACAAGAAGCATGGATGCTGCCATGTGGAAAAATGCCCCAATGAAGCCGGTGAGCACAGCGCTGCCGCACTCCATGTTTCCGCAGCCCGCAGTGATGGACACCAAGCCGGCAAGAATGCCATTGCAGAGAGCGCCGACATCGTACTTGCGCACGATCACGAACTTTAGCAAGAACACCGTGATCCCGCAGGTGGCGGCAGAGAGAGTGGTGTTCATGGCCACCTGTGCCGCGAGGGCACCCATCTCCTTATCATGCATCGAGAGGGTGGAGCCTGGGTTGAAGCCGTACCAGCCGAACCAAAGCGCGAAGGTTCCGAGCACGACCCTTGGATGCCATTCTTGTGACAGCATGTCGAATCTCAGTAACTAGCTTCAGGTCAGTCTGCACACTGCCATTCCTATAGTTACATGTGGGTACTTTGTATCATTATTTCGACTGCGAACAGTAAGTTCCGGCAGGTCGCAGTGGGACATTGTGGTACTCGAACTCCTCGGGATTCTCGAAGCGCCCCTTTCGCGGGCCGAGGATGGTCGTGCCAGCAAGGCCACAAACGCCTCCGGTGAAGTGAACGACGCCTGATCCTGTGAGGTCCATCTATCGCATGTCTGTCATAAAGTTGGCCTCTAACTTCAACACCCAAGCGCCTTCCTTCCAAGTACAGTATCGACTTATCCACAGCCTGCTGGCTGCACACACGTGGGAAGAAACGGGCATAGGGGAAAGGGGACATCAAGCAAATCTGGTCCTGCGAAGTCCATATATCCCACACCGAAGATGCTGGCGAGCCAGCCGCCGCCCCAGGTCCAGGCCACGATGATGGGGTAAATGAAACTGGTCATGCAGAACGCGAAGACAGCATAGGTGGGGCTCTTCACGCGCTCAGCCACGCATCCGCTCACGATGGTGGCGCCTGTGTGCAAAAGCAAAGGTGAATGATGCAAGAAAATTGAGCTTGCACGCGCGAAGAATTCAGAGACTCGATGCAAGGACGTGTTTCAACTGAGGATGTTGCCGGCAGTGCAGAAGGCCCACTGGAAGAACCAGCTCAACATCGTGGACTGGCAGTTGCCGTCCTCACATTCATCCACCGGCACGATGTTGCCGGCTGCATCCTTGTTGTAAAAACCCAGGCCAAAGAAGCCGTCTGTGCCAATGAAACCACCTGCTTGGGAGCCGTAGGCAAACGCCCATCCAAAGATCCACCAACCCAGCGTGCCGACACTGACCTTGGCTGACTTCTCTGATTTGCTTTGCGCCGACACAGTAACCCCCCTTCCTGAACGTTCAATGTTTAGCCTACTAGTTCTGGTTCATATAGAAACCCCCAAAAGTTAAAGTCCTACCCAGAAGAACGCCAAGTGACGTTCACGAGATTCTTCATCAGGACGTTCGAGGCATTCTTTGCACGGCAGCACCCGGTCTCCAACATTGCAAATCCTGCATGCATAAACATGACCAGCGCCCCACAGAGGACCAGCCAAGCCGAATCCATGGCACCAGCAAAACTCTCCTGAGTTTCGGCCATCTGCTTCAGCTCCTTTCGCTGCTCCTCCAACAACGCCCGCTGCGCCTGCAGCTCACGAAGAAGCTCAGCGGGAGACTCCTGGGACATCGCCGTCGCCGTCAAGGCGGCAGCAAGAGCCGCCGCGAAGCAAAGCTTCATGCTCGCCAAGACTCTCGGCCGCGGGCTACCGCGCTCTTCTGCCTACTTGCTGGGTGCAGAAATGGCTCAGAAAGAATCGCCCTGAAGGACAGCAGGGCTGGCAAAGGTCAACGCCAAAACATTCGCCCGCGGGAGTTGCAAGTATACCAGAGCTGCAAGGTATGCCAAGGCTCGCACCGTTGTCGAAACCACTCTGAGCAGCAGAGATCCCAGATTGGTCACTCCAACCTCATGGTGTGACGGGCCTGACAAGCCATGGTCGAATGATCAACCACCGGGTTGGATTGGCACAGCAGACTGCTGGCACTCCCAGGTTTTGCGGATGAGACTAGCAACCAATAAGCCCACGATCACAGCAGCAGCCTCTTTTGCAGAAGCAGGAACGAATCCACTCGATGCTTGAGCAAAGACATCCGTAGCGTTCGGCTGCGTGTGGGCCACATGCTTTTGTCAAATATTCTGCTGTAATTACTTGGAGCGCTCAGCTGTAAGCATCCCAACAGAAGATCGATGTCCGCTCAGATCTCCAACCGGCCTAGTTACCACATGCTTTGTCAAAGAAGCTTGTGTACTTAGAGCGCTGGGCTGTAAGCATTCCAACAGAGTGATCGAGCTCCGCTCAGATCCTAAAAGGTGCAGAGGCGAGCCGCAGTGAGCCCCGGGATGAAAGAGGACGAATCACGAAGCGACGCCGAGGATGACCCCTATCGACTGAGGATGACCCCTATCGCGGGATGCTGGAGGATGGAGGGTGTGTTCACTGGGCTTCACCCTTCGACCCGGCCTCAAAGCACTCTCAAGAAGTTGAGTCCACACGTCACGTTGCTTCGGGTTACGTGTCGGAACATGAGCAAGCGGCTTGGACGCTGGCCTCTCTAAGACCCTAAACTTAAGAAAACTGTAGTTTGATTCAGGGTGCTCTCTTCTCTTCCCTCCTTCCTTCCCTCACCACTGCAAGTCCTTGGGCAACTCGCAGGAGGAAGAGCAATCGGAGTTCCCCTTGGGGTCCTGGCGGGCGAGGGCCTTGTCCAAGACATCGTCGGGAGGGAGGTGAAGGAGCACCCTGCCGTTATCCAGCTTCACGTCGAAAGTGGCCAGGTTCAGACCTGCATTGCTGATGCCCTTCCCAGTCTCCAGGTTGTAGGTGTTCTTGTGGATCGGGCAAGCCACCTTCGGCACGTCCCCTTGAAAGCCAATCATTCCACGAGAGAGCACCTGCAATTGCTTGTGCGGGCAGGAGTTCTGAGTCGCATACCACTTGCCAACAGCCACGTGGTTGTACACGGCCAGCTCGGAGTTGCTGATTTTCACGGCAAAGCCGGCATTCTTCGGAAAGGCCTCCTCCGCGCCAACGTCCACCCAGTGCCAAGATGCGTTTGCATCGCTTTTGCCAATCTTCGCCGGGCCAATGACGGTGGGCAAGTCCTCCACTGCAATCTTCTTCTGCTTGCGCTGGACACTCCACTCGAGATCGCCATACTTTTTATCATCGACATTGGCAAACTGCCTGAACTTCTTCCGGAGCTCCGGGGTGTCGACCACACGCTTCCACTCGCACTCGTAGGTACCGACCTGCGACTCCATCCGTGCATCTAACTCCGCACAGATCCCCAGCTTGTCGTCGACCACGACCTCCTTCAGGAAGTCGATGCCACCCTCCAGGTTCTCCAGCCACTTCGAGGTCCGCGTCAGTGGGTCAGCTGTGAAGGTGTAGTACATCATCACGCGGTCGATGTACTTGATTGCCTCATCATCCGAGATGTCGGTCAGGAAGAGTGTAGCATGCTTCGGTGAGGTTCCGTGGTTGCCGCAGATGTACAGGTTCCAGCCGTTGGTGGTAGCAACAAGGCCGATGTCCTTGCCCTGGGCCTCAGCACATTCGCGCATGCACCCTGAGACACCCATCTTCCACTTGTGCGGAGCGCGGAAGCCCTTGTAGCGCTGCTCGATGCGATTGGCCATGCCCACAGAGTCTTGGACACCGAAACGGCACCAGCTAGTCCCAACGCAGCTCTTAACTGCTCGCAGAGCCTTGCCGTAGGCGTGCCCGGATTCCATGCCATCAGTGTCAACCTTGGTGAGTACTTTGCCATCTGCAGACGCATAGGCGCTCTTTCCATAGCACAGTTCCTCCCAGATGTCTGGCAACTGCCAGACGTTTGCACCAAAGAGGCCAATGCGTTGCGCTCCGGTGACCTTGGTCCAGAGGTTGTACTTCTTCGCCACGGTGCCCATCAAGATAAGCTCATCGGGTGTCAGCTCACCCCCGGGGACTCGCGGGATCACCGAGTACTGGCCAGAGCGCTGAATGTTGGCCAAGAACCGGTCGTTGGTATCCTGAAGCATGTTCAAACCATCCTTGACAGGATTCTCCTGCCATAAGGAAGCCAAAATGGAAGCCACCACCGGCTTGCAGACCTCATCTCCTCCAAGGCCTTTCTTGAGATCCGCAATCTTGCCAACTCGTGCACAGGTCTCTACCACCTCCTCCCAAGTCTTCAGCTCCTTTGTCTTGATGATGTCGAAGAGCTCCCTACGCGTGAAGGGGAAGTTCGGGCTGATCCCCGTGAAGGGCTTTTTGCCACATGCCTCCAGTGTGGTCTTCAGGATCTTGGGCACGAAGCCGGTGGCAAGTACACAGCCACCGCAGCCAGCACCTGCAGTGGTGCATCGCTTGATGTCGGGAATCGTGGTGCACTCCTGCTCCTTGACGGCATCGACAATGTCCTTCTTGGTGACCTTCTGGCAGAGGCAGACGATGGCATCATCCTTCAAGTCATCCACGCTCTCCTCGGAATTCCCGCCCAAGAAGAGATCCATGGGAGCCTTCTTGCCTAAGTCGTCTTGCTTCGAGAGTCCCAGCAAGCTGAAGTAGTCGTCCGCATTACCGACCAGGAGGCCTCCCATGAGCTTCTGGGTCTCTTCCTGGAAGACCAGCTTCCGGTACAAGCCGCTGAAAGGATCCAACTGGATCGTGGAGGTCAGGCCCTGCTCCTTGGCTTCTTTCTCATGGCACTGCTTCTTGAACCAGAAATCCAGGGAGCTTCCGAAGGAAGCCACATCCACGCCCAAGAGCTTCAGCTTTGTGGAGAGATCACTGCCTTCGTAAAGCGGCGGATCAGCAGCATCCTTGTCCTTCTTCTCCCAGGTGGCAGACTCGAAGTTCTTGGCTAGGACGGAAGCTTGGTCCCAGCCAGGAGCAATGAGCCCATAGCACAAGTTCTTGTGACAAGCAACTTCCCCGAGAGCAAAGATCTTCGGGTCGCTGGTTTGCATGCGGTCATTCACCACGACCCCTCCGCGCTGGCCGATGGACAAGCCGCTGGATCGCGCCAACTCATCACGGGGGCGAATGCCGGCGCTCACCACCAACATGTCAAACTCCAGGAGGTATTCTTCGGCATTCTCTGCATCCGTCATACGGACACCTTTGAGAACACCGTCCTCGACCACCACCTTGCTCAAGCGAGAACTCGTGTGAACACGGATGTCCATGTCCTTGATCTTCTCGCCTAAAACCTTGCCGCCCTGGGGATCCAACTGTGCCGGCATGAGGTACGGGGCCATCTCAAGCACGTGCGTCTCTTGGTTCAGGTCATACACGGCCTTGGCTGCTTCGAGACCCAAGAGCCCGCCACCGATCACTGCTGCCTTGCGAGACTTCTTGGCGAAGAGAATCATACCCTCCAGGTCCTCAATGGTGCGGTACACGAAGACTCCCACCGTTTTTTCACTCAAGTTCTCCAAAGGTGGCACGAAGGGATAGCTGCCGGTGCAAAGGACGCATGCATCGTAAGCCATCTCTTCGACGGCGTTTGTGTTCACATCTCGCAGCGACACCTTACAGCTTTCGCGGTCGATCTTCTCGGCGCGGCAGTTGGTGCGGATTCCAACCTACAAAGATACACAACAAAATCTGACAAGTCCGATCCCTCTCTGACCGTGCATTACCATTTTGCGGCTAGCTATAGCTACAACGTCGTGGCATGTCTCGTAATGCCTGTCGCTTCAAGCATAAATCCCACCTTGTGGTCCTGGAACCACTTCTTGTCGCACATAGACAGCTTGCTCGCGTCACGGTGCTCGAAATACTCGGTAAGGTGGACGCGATCATACGCCATGCGCGGCTCTTCCCCCACCACGGTGATGTCAAGCGCGCCGTCGCCTACCATGCCCACGAGCTTCACTACCTCATGTCGCGCACAATGATGGATCAAGCACACTTGCAGTTACTAGACGGACTGCATGTGTTGATGCTGCAAGATGTTGCAGGTTGAGGAACGAAGTCGTGTCCGACTGGCCCGTGGCCAATCACCAGCACTCGCTTGCCCGTGAGCTCTAGCAAGGGGGGAGATTCGGAGGCCACATGCGTTGGTGCATCTGAGCTCAACTTCGAAGGCTTGCAGGATTCCGCGGCGTCCAAGGCCGCCACCAGGCCAACCGATGGCTTCGTTGGCAAGGCGGTGAGGCGCTCCAACTCCGCCTTCAAAAACTTCACCTCGTCCTGGGCTTTCTTCAGCTCCTCGTTGGGCGCCTCCTGTCCAACTGGCCCAAGGCACCACTCAGGCTTTGTGTATTCCTTGATCCAATCCTTCTTGTGGATGGCCGACCAGAACTTGGTGGCATCCTTGCCCGCCCAATCCAAAATCACCTGGTGACCTCCAGGATGATCTTCGAGGAACTTCGTGAGGTCGTAAATGTAGCCGTGCAAAACCACCCAAGCAGAGTCCTTGGAGTTGTGCTTCTTCACCTCGCTCATCGGGATGCCGACAACACCGTCCTTTTGGGAGCCATGGCCGTTCGGAACGTGGCCGTTGGTGACTTTCCCGTTCGTGGCGGAGGAGTCGAAGGCCGGCTGGTTCTTCGACCAAAGGCCGCCGTTCGAGAACTCCAGGTACTTCTGCCCTTTGGTGTCCTTCATTCTGGCGATCATGGGGAAGCCGCCAATCTGCATGTCCATCTCAAAGTTAGACTCATCCTTGCGTACTTTCCCAACCGCAGGCTGGCCGCCAAAGCAGGTTTGGACAGACCGCACCTCGTCACCCTCCGTCTTCAGCTGCACCGCCCCTTGCACGTTCTTGATAAACCAATCGCCGACGATCTCCTTCGTACCATCTTTCAAGCTGACAGGCTGCGACATGGCTGGCGCTTTGCTGGCGCTCTGTTCTTGGTCTCACTTCAACCCAAATGGCTGAGCAGAAAGTGTGCAGTCCAAAGATTTCTCTCCATCATCTCTCAGCAACAAATTTAAGAAGTGCAAAGACGACCAACCAGCCGGGCCTGGCCATCATGGCGAATCTGCCACGGGCCCCTCATCCTTTCTTCAACTTCCTCCTCAGTCCACCCCAAAATATCGGGGCCCGTTGTAAAAGCATCTTGCACCACATAGCGACCTCGAGGCTTGACCTGTGACGTGGGCTCTGCCAGCGACGTGCCAGGCTGCCTGCACACATTCATCCAAGCGGATCCCACAGCTCAAAGCGCGAAGTGGATGCACTGCACACAAAACACTACGGAAGCAGGACCCGCCGGCAAACGCGGTGGTGCGCACATGCCTGTGTGACACGCACTTTCCTGTGCAGCGTGCCATTCATTGTGCCACGCGTTGAAACGCGGTATGACGATGACCCTCCATGTCCCCCAGCTGGCAAAAGCTTGGAGCCGCAATGACACATTCGGAGCATGCTGCAGAGTCTCTGTAGAGTCGCTGTAGAGTCTTATACAGTCCGCCTTCACAGGTTCTGTGCGCTGCAAAGCCACAGCCGCAGCGCCAGCATTCCGAGAGGATCCTGCAGCTTCGCTGCCGCAGCAAAGGCCCACGGCCAAGCTTAAGTCGCTCAACTTCGGTCAGAAGCAGTAGGATGCAGGTTTTCCGCTGCCCAGAAGTCTGAGACCACGGGGGAAAGTCGCCCCCTGCTCGGGGCTCTGTGCCGCTCTGCGCGATCTCCACGAGGCCGGCTGTTGCGTCTTGGCCTCGACTTTCTCGCCCCTAGAGGAAGGAGATGGTCTTGCTCCTCAGCAGCAAGGGATCACCGCTTAGAGACGGAGTTTCAAGTATACAGTATACAAGGGGTGTTTGGACGTACACGGGCACAGCTGAGGCACAGTTTTTCAAGGTCTGCACCGGACATGGCGGACACGCCGCCAGCTTTGGAAGCAGCTGCAAGATCCTCCTCCTTGCGGCATGAAAGGCGCGCGCAAGAGATCGAGAGGCCACGAGTTCGTGTTTTAGGCTCTCCGCGTCCCCCCGAAAAGCCTTGCAGTCGCCGCCGTGAAGCTTGACGGTGCATACCACCTGCTTCCACCGTGCTCAGACTTCGGTTGGCGGTTCCGTGGGAAACCGACCTTGCCATGGGGGTCGGCGCAAGCGTCGCAGTGCTCCCCCGGCTTGCCTGGACACAGGGCAGCGAAGCGTCAGACTCAGAAAGGGAGAGTTTGCCGGGCGGCAATCTGCTGGTGGCTGTCCGAGAAGGTACCTCACGCAGCTACACGGGTGAAGTCCCCCTGCAAAGCTCCGGATCGCTGGGGCACTTGTAGGTGTGCCATCCCGTGCCCGCAGCTGGCGAAAGGTAGTACATCACCCCGCAGTCCTTCAGAGCTCTTTTTTGGAAACAGTCCCCGGCCCCTTGGCCCTACACATAGGGCCCCCCACCTTGCTCCAATGGAGCGTCGGCTCCGTGGTATCGCAGACGTAATCGTAGCCTTGCTTGCCTGAGACTCTCGTCGGAGACGGAGAGCACTTGAGCGCCAAGAGCCGAAATGGGATCTGCTCCCGAGCAGCAGAACTCGTGGAAGTCCCGGCTGCAGTGCTCCGCCCCTGCAAGAGGTGTACACAGGCGCATCTTGCTTACTCGCTGGCAGCATGCGACGCCTCCATGGTTCTGCACGTGATGCTGGCCCAGCAGAAGATCCTGCCATGCACTTTATCTCACCATCTGAAGCCGAATCACAGACACAGAGATCTCGGCTCAGCCCTTAGCTTGCCTTCCCCAAGAGCTTTGAGTAGTTGGGCATTCCGAAGGCTTCCCAGTCAGCATCTTGAGCATCGAAGCGGCCCGGAGCCGGGGATTCCTGCAACAAGCTACCAAGTACCCACGCGAGGTGTATCACATACCTGTTTTTTGCTTTATGTATTTCTTGACTCTCTCTCTCTCTCTCTCTATATATATATATGGATTAGATAGTGTGTGTGTTTTATATATATATATATACATACAGAAATATACGTACATACGTATACATAATATGAGGGCACCTGACTTGCATGGACTGCTCGCTAGCGCCTGGAAGGAAGAGCGGAGCCCTCGTCCTGGCAGCCAGCCGGCATCCACTTCTCCTGCACATGCTCGGGTTCTCCATAGTTGCATCCGCCGAGCTCGCTGAGAGGCTTTGAGGCTGTTGTGTCTCACACTCTGTCTCTGTGAGCATGTGCTCAAAACTTAGCTTGCAACACATGTGGATGAGTCTGCATGCATCAAGAAAGCCGGCATGTCTAGGCTCATGTCTGGACGGATCGAAATGCATGCCCCGATGTGTAACAGAACAGACGTCAAGGTTCAATGCTCCTCCGTTATGCACCTACACAGCTGCAGGCCCTGCAGGAGGATCCTGCGCCAAAGCAGATGCAGGCTGACCTCACCGCACGCCCATCATCATGAAACCAAAAAGACTTCACGAGACCGCTGCCCGTACGCGCTGAGCCTCCGGCATCTTTGGCCAGGCTATACACGGACCTGACACCTACCGCAGCGGCTCTGCTGCGCGGGGCCTGGGACCATGGCCCTCTCTGTCTCTGTGTTTGGGCAACGAGGCACTTCTATGTGCGCTCACGGTGTTGCGAAGCTTGCCATTCCCTATTCGTGCTGACATGCAAGAATCACCCGATTCGCAAACCCCAAGTGTGTACGGCGTCGATTACGTGGATGTTACTAGCATGAGTTGAGTGCTGCTGCTTGGGCCAGGGCATCGTAAGAATCACTGCTGTAAGCTCTGATCTCCTGCACTGGGCCTCCGATGCAGTTTGGGACACGGTGAACGACCAGGGCTACAAACGACCAGTGTTGATTGCACGCCCGTCCTTGGAGCTTATCCAACTTTCAGCGCTGTCGATGCAGTGGTGTGTGGCGTGGAAGCCTGCGACGGAGACTTTCCGTGCAGTCAGAGTCACAACGGTCAGAAACTCAACGACCAGCACACGCCTCCGGCATGAGCCAAGCTCCACGTTTCAGCCTCTCAGGCTTCGGCAGACGGTCCTGCAATGGCTCGCGTTTGTGTCGCTGGACTTTTGTTTCCCCAACATGCGTGGCATTGCGCGGTCCAGCGCATGTGCATGGCTCATCAGAATGCCACGCAAGTAGGCGAAGTCGAGGAATTCGCAGCAGCATCCGCTGCAGGCCTTCCAGCATGTGTTTCCTGGCATCGCCACTCGTGCGTCACTGTACCGACCATGGAGATTAGATCGTGGAGGTAGCAAGGTCATCATCATTCACATTCGTCATATCCTAGTGGACTATCATTCCCCCAAGTTCGCACAATATGCTGCTATTGGTATGATCGTGTGGATTGGTGCTTAAGCTCCGTACGGTTGGTACGGGCCGGCTCGCACCATGCTGCCAGAATCAACTCCTGCTCATCGTCATCTTGGTGGTCATCAGTACAGTCGCTTCCATCAAGATATAAGCAACATCATCATTGCACTTGTGCGAAGCTGCTTCTCACGGTTTACCGCAATGATGCTGGCACTAGGAACATTACTGTCGCACCAGGTAGGTTCCTCGTCGTATCGTTGCAGACTGATCTTCAGACAGAGTAGATTCGCGCCTGACCATGCGCTGCAGCAAGCAATCAGGACACCAGGCAACACTCCTTTGCGGCAAAGTTTCTGAAAGCTCTGCTTCCGAGCTGCATGTGGCCAGGTCGTGGCGTTGCCGACATGGCTTGCCAGGCTGGGCAGCATGAACCAACAACGCTGTAAACGGTCCGTGTTGAAAGGCACTGTGTGGGCATCGGGCACCTTTCCCCCCCCGCCCTCCTTCATGAAACCCTAGAGGTGCGGGGGGTCACTAAGCACTTCCAAGCTGCTCTATTGCAGAGGGGCGGCGCTTCAAAAGGCCTAGCTAGGTGTCAGCGCAATGGTGTTGGAAGCTGATGAGAGCCAGCGTGTTCACCATGAAATGACGATGAAAAGCCGCCCTGTGAGCGCTATTGGTCCAGAGTTTCAAGACCATCGCTTCGAAACCGTTGAACACAATTTGCGCCTGGCGTCGCCCTCAAGATTTTAATCTGCGAGGCACGCGAGTCCGAATGTCAGAGTGCTACCACATGCTCCCTACATCATCTTGCCTCAAGCATTGCCATGTCTTTTCCAACACATCCACAAACTTTCTTCACAGGTACCAGGCCCGTTGGTGAAACCAGGTCCGTAACATATATGGTATAGGAAGCATTAGGAAGCGCTTGCAGCTATGACAGAAATTTTGATAATTTTGCAGACCAAAACGAACATGCAAAGTGAGAGCAACGGCCCATAACCTTTTGCGCGCCTGTATATCGGCATTTGCAGAAGTCACGCGGCAGAACTCGTGCCGAACTGCGTGTCGGTTGAGTAGCTTCCTGTGCCATGTTATGGACCTGGTTTCTGCCGGCCCGTCCGGTCTGGGCTCCTCGGGCCTATGACCCACGAGGGTGCCCGGTTGCCCTGTGCATCGATTCCACGCGCGGATTCCCGTACATATGCAAAGTAGAAATGCTGAACACCCCGCTTTGGAAACGTGTGGAAGAAACCTGCTAACTGCGTCACGCAGCACATTTCTCTTTTCTGAACCTTTAATTGCAGCTTCATTTAACATCCTGCGCGCATGCCAACTTGCGAGACATGCTGCTTAAGGCAAAGTACAGAGGACCGTGAGACAAGACACGTCCTACCCAGAAATCGACTCGAAGGCTCCGCTGAGCCTTTCGGCAGGAATGCTCCGGGCGCAAGAGTGCTGTTGTCAAAGCATCTCAATCAGGCGCACGGACGGAGATGCACCTGCCACAACATGACAATGCAATACATTCCAACACCAAGATTCATCTTATACAATATTTCTAAATTAGTATGTACAAAATTATGGACATAAGCGAGAAGGCTGGACAACATCTGCATATTGTTGTTGCTTCTTTATTACACACATTGGCATGATCAAGGGGGTGATGGCAATGGTCTTGATGGTGGTGGGGATAACAACCTCCACGATTCCGGCGATTAGCACTTCTCATTTGTTTACATTACTGGCCATGCTGTTCTTTAGCTCTGCCCTTCCCACACGACCGCTGCTTCATACTGCGACTAACCTGTCAGTCAGCTAACACTGTTGTACTCTGGCTTGTTTGAGACACACACACACACAGAGACAC